GTGAGCAGGGGAGGGTCAGAGAGAGAGGGAGTCACAGACTGAAACAGGCTCCAGGCTCTGAGCTGGCAGTCAGCACCGAGCCCGACGCGGGGCTCGAACCCACGAACCGCGAGATCATGACCTAAGCGAAAGTCGGACACTTAACCGACTAAGCCACCCAGGCGCCCCTATGTTTTTTTTTCAAGTGCACATGGAACATTCTCTAGGCTAGATCACATGTTAGTCCACAAAACAAGTCTCAATAAACTTAAGAAGATTAAAATCCTAACTGACCACTAACAGTGTGAAACTGTTAGAAATCAATTACAAGAAAAAAAAATCTGGAAGAAAACCCACAAACATGTGGAGACTAAACAACATGCTACTAAATAACCAATGGGTCAACAAAGAAAGAGGAAACAAAAAAATACATGGAGACAAATGAAAATAAAACAGTGATCCAAATCTTTGGGATACAGCAGAAGCACATCTAAGAGGTAAATTTATAGCAATACAGGTGTACCTCAGGAAAAATCTCAATCAATCCAACCTGATACTTAAAGTCCAAAGTTGGTAGAAGGAAGGAAATAATAAAGATCTGAGCACAAATAAAGGAAATGGTGAGTAAATATACAATAGAAAAAAAAAAGTCAAACAAACATTTAGCCAGAGTCCTTAAGAAAAATGAGAGGACAAAATAAAATAAAAAATATATGGGGAACGACCAGCACCACACAAATATAAAAAAGATAAGAGACTAGTACAAAAAATTATGGGTAAAGTCCTAAAAACATACAGTCTTCCAAAACTGAATCAGGGAGAAGTAGAAAATCTCTTTTTAATGTTTATTTAAAGAGAACTTGTGCACTGTAGAGGAGAGGGTGACAGAGAATCCCAAGCAGGCTCCGTGCTTCAGTGCAGAGTTCAGGGCTTGATTGCACGAACTGTGCCAATTTCTTGATTTCAAGACCTGACCTGAAATCAAGAGCTGGACGCTTAACTAACTCACCCAGGTGTCCCAAGAAGAAATAGAAAATCTGAATATATCAATTATTAGTAATGAAACTGAACTGGTAATAAAAAAAACCCCAACAAACAAAGTTCAGGACTAGATGGATTCAAAAGGTGCATTCTACCAAACCCTTAAAGAAGAGTTAATACCTAGTTTCTTCAAATTAGTCCAAAAAATAGAAAGGGAAGTAAAGCTTCTGAACTTATTCTACAAGGGCAGCATTACCCTCATACCAAAACCAGAAAAAGATATTACAAAAACAAAAACCACCACCACAACACCACGACAAAAAACCCAAGTATACAGGCCAATAGCTATGATGCATACAGATGCAAATACCCAACACAATATCTGCAAACTGCATTTAACAATACATTAAATGAATCATTCACCATGAGCAAGTGGGATTTATTCTGGGGGATGCAAGGATGGCTCGATATTTGCAGATCAATCCATTTGATATATACCACATTAACAAAATAAACGATAAAAATCATATCATCTCGGGGCGCCTGGGTGGCTTAGTCGGTTGAGCGTCCGACTTGCGCTTGGGTCATGATCTCGCGGTTCGTGGGTTCGAGCCCCGCGTCGGGCTCTGTGCTGACTGCCAGCTCAGAGCCTGGAGCCTGTTTCAGTCTGTGACTCCCTCTCTCTCTGACCTCCCCTGCTCACGCTGTCTCTCTCTCTCTCCTAGAAATAAATAAAAAACCTTAAAAAAAAAAATCATATGATCATCTCAATAGATGCCGAAAAAACATTTAACAAAATTCATCATTTACTCATGATAAGAACTGCCAACAAATAGTTTAGAGGGGACACACCTCAACATCATAAAGGCCACATATGACAAGCCCACAGCTAACATCATATTCAGTGGTGAAAAACTAAGAGCTTTTCTCTAAGATCAGAAATAAGAATGTCCACTCTTGCCACTTCTATTGAATCTAGTTCTGGAAGTTCTAGCTGTAGCAGTCAGATTAAGAAAAAGAACTAAAGGCATACACATTGGTAAGGAAGAAGTAAACTTACTATTTCCAAAAGACAAGACACTATATATAGAAAATGCTAAACACTCCACCAAAAGACTATTAAAACTAATAAATGAATTCAGAAGTTGCAGGATACAAAACTATTACACAGGAATCTGTTGTGTTTCTATACACTAATAACAATTTGTACAGAAACTTTTTTAAAAAAACTTTTTTTGTAATGTTTATTCATTTTTTGAGAGTGAGGGAGGGAAGGAGGGAGGGGGAGGGGCAGAGAGAGGGAGACACAGAATCTGAAGCTGGCTCCAGGTTCTGAGCTGTCAGCACAGAGCCCGACATGGGGCTCGAAGTCACGAACCACGAGATTGTGACCTGAACCGAAGTTGGATGGTTACTGTAAATAATGCTGCAATGAACATAGGGGTGCATATCTTTTGTACCGACTGGGCCACTCAGGCATCCCTAGAAACACTTTCTAACCAAGTGGCAGACAGAAATTAAGAAAACAATTGCCATTTACAATTGTACACAAACACTGATGGAAGAAACTGATAACACCAATGGAAAGATATTCCATGCTCATGGGTGCAAAGAATTAATACTGTTAAAATGCCCATACTGCACAAAGTAATCAGAATCAGTGCAATCTCTATCAAAATACCAAATAGCATTTTTCACAGAACTAGAACATAATCCTAAAATTTATATGGAACCACAAAAGACTGAATATTCAGCCAAAACAATCCGGAAAAAGAAGAACGAAGCTGGACATATCACAAACGAAGCTGGACGTAACACAATCCCAATTTTGAGATACACTACCAAAGTTATATTAATCAAAACAGTATTGTACTGGCACAAAAATATATTAATAGAACAGAAAAGAGAACCCAGAAATCCATGCTTATATGGTCAATTAATCCATGACAAAGGAGGCAAGAATATACAATAAGGAAAAGACAGTCCCTTCAATAAATGGCTATTGGGAAAACTGGATAACTACATTCAAAAGCATGAAACTAGACCATTTTCTTACACCATACACAAAAATAAAAATGGATTAAAGATCTAAATGTGAGACCTGAAACCATAAAGCTCCTAGAAGAAAACACAGGCAATAATCTGTCTGATACTAGCCTTAATAATACTTTTCTAAGATACAGCTGCTCAGGCATGGGAAACAAAAGTAACAATAAACTATTGGGTGTTTATAAACAATAAACACCACAATAAAAAGCTTTTGCAAAGAAGAAATGAACAAATCAAAAAGGCAACCTACTAAGTGGGAGAGGATACTTCCAAATGATACAATAAGCGGTTAATGTCCAAAACATAGAAAGAACTTATGCAATTCAACTCCCCCACAATCGGATTGAAATCAAAACCACAATCGGATTGAAAAATGGGCAGAGGACCTGAACATTTTCCCAAAGAAGACATACAAATGGCCAACAGACGCATGAAAAAATGCTCAGCATCACTAATCATTAGGGAAATGCAAATCAAATCCACAGTC